CTTGGCTCTTGGATCCAACTTAGATTCTGTAACATGAAAATAAGCTGGACATCCAAAGATACGTAGCTGATCATAATCAGTAGCTGACACTCCTGACCATACCTCCATGGGAGTCTTGCCATCTAGTGCTGCAGTAGGTAGTCTGTTGACAAGATGACGAGCATAGTTCAATGCCTCGCCCCAAAATGCCTTGCTCAATCCTGAATGTGACAGCATACACCGGACTCTCTCCACCAAAGTACGGTTTATGCGTTCTGCAACTCCATTTTGCTGCGGTGTTCCAGGAACTATGAAATGTCTCACTATCCCTGCATTCTGGCAAACCTCTAAGAAGGGATTTGATGTGTATTCCCCACCATTGTCAGATCTGAGCTTCTTGATCTTTCTGCCTGTTTGGGTCTCAATCATTTTCTTCCACATAAGAAAGATGTCTAAGACTTCGTCTTTGTGCTTCATTGTGTAAATCCAAACTCTTCTTGAGAAATTATTAATGAATGACACAAAGTAGTGTTTACCTCCCAATGAAGCATTCTTGGAAGGACCCCATACGTCGGTGTGAACGTAGTCTAGAATCCCTTTGGTACGATGAATAACAGTACCAAACTTGATTCTTGTTTGCTTGTCCAGTACACAATGCTCATAGAACTCAAGTTTCCCTATTTTGGCGCCTTTCAACAGGCCTTGCTTTACCAATCCTTATAAAGCCTTCTCACCGATATGCCCTAGGCACATGTGCCAAAGTCTGGAAGTCTCTGATACATCATCTTCTGAGCTGGTGGAGATAGCCACTCTCCCTGTGACTGTAGAGCCGTCTAGGAAATATAAATTTCCCTGTCGAGTACCCTTCATTGCAATAAATACTCCTCGAACAACTTTGAGGACTCTACCTTCCATAGTTACTCTGTAACCTTTGGAGTTTAAAACTCCCATTGAGATGAGATTCTTTGTCAAATCTGGTACATATTGAGCATCTTCAAGAATTCCGATTGTTCCATCATGTATCTTCAGTCGAATTGTTCCAATCCCCTTTGTCTGGCAAGCTTGGTCGTTGCCCATCAGTACAACTCCTCCATCGAACTCTCGTAAGCTCGAGAACCACTGCTTGTTTGGACACATGTGGTAGGAACATTCATAATATATAATCCATTTATCAGACTAGCCATATGATGAAACTGTGAAGGCTGATCCTTTACCATTATCTCCATCTCGTGCAACGTTCACTTTTTCTTCTTTCTTGTCTTTATTGGGACAATCTTTTTCCCAATGCCCCTTCTAGCAATAAGCAGTACACTCGTCTTTTGCAAGACGTCTTCTATTCGATGATTTCCCTCTGGATTTTGAGCGAGACTTTCCTCGCCTTGTATATCTTCTGTTATTTGTTCTGTCTCTGACTGTCAATGCCTCGGATGCTGAGTCCCTGTTTGCAGATTTATCTTTCCTTCTGAACTCATTATTTACCAAGGTGTTTGCAACATCATCATACTTGATCTTTTCTTTATAGTACAGTAAAGTGGTAGTGAGATGATCATATGAGTCAGGCAAGGAATTCAACAATAACAGTGCTTTATCTTCATCACCAATATGATCATCCAAGTTCTTCAAATCGGTGAGAATTTTGTTGAAATTGTTTAGGTGTTCGTTCATCGAAATGCCTTTCTTGTAGTCAAAACGAAACAACCTCTTCTTCAAGTAGAGCTGGTTCTCAATGCTCTTTGTCATGAACTTATCTTCCAGCGCCTTCCAAAGCTTCTTCGCAATATCATATTCTGTGAAGGCGTACTTCTCCTCTTTTGCAAGGCAAAGTCGGATGGAACTGTAGGCCAGGAGATTCACCTTCTCCCATTCTATCTCGTCCAGGTCATCTAGTTAGTCTCTCAGAGTGAAGTGCAGGTTCATCTGAACAAGCATATCTTTAACTTTGCATCTCCGCATGCCGAAGTTACTGCTTCCATCAAACTTTTCTACCTCGAACTTACCATGGGACACCGGGGTCCAATGCCTAGAGTTGCTTGTAGTCGCTGGATTACATATGGACTCGGTTGATCTGGTCTCTATAGATTCTGCCATTAAACTTTTTTTTTTTTAAGAAACTCCGATTCAAAAAACTGATCATACATATATGTCCAGAATACTCCAAATAGTTGGAAAACACTATTGGATCGTCAAAAACGGACTCCGAATGACTTAGATCTGGCCAAAACTGTTTGGACGGTTCAGATCTGCAGAATCTGGTGCATCTGAGATGTACCGGATAATTACTTCGAAATGGCGCGGTCAACGGCGCGGCTTGACTGGTTGGGTCAATGGCTCAGTCAACGGCTTTGGCAATGACGTGGCGGACACGTGGCAGATGACGTGGCAATCCTGTTGACATGGCTGATGACGTTGCGGATGATGTGGCGCTGACGTAGCAATCTGCTGATGTGGTGGCTGACGTGGCGATAACGTGGCTCGTCTTCTCCCTAGAGACGCGCGTGGATGCGCGTGGTGTGACGCGCCGACAGTAACCGGCGCGTGGTATGACGCGCCAGTGGGCTTCACTCTCTTTCTTCAGAGGGCACGTGGTTAGTCTTCTGGGGCTGGTCTTTGCTGTTTTGGACTCCTCTCTTGGAGTTCTTGCTCCTGGTGTGCTCAAAAGTTGATTTCGAGCACTTCGAAATCTGGGCACTTTTGGAAAAAATTCAATTTTTCACCACCCGAGCTCTGATACCAATTGTTGGGGATCGGGGGCACACCAGTAAACACACACAAGCAATAACACGAGATTTAATGTGGTTCGACAAGTCGCCTACGTCCACGGGCAGCGAATTTCACTATATGGAGAAATGGAAGAATTACACACTGATAGTCACTCTCTGTATTCTCTTCTTGAACTCACCACTCGCAACTCACCACATTTCCCTTTGCTCTCTCTACCTCTATTTATACAATGAGAAGGGAGAGAGCTGGCTGGCCTTGCACATGGCCAGCTGGTCATCCAACAAAGGTGGATCGTCTACCTTTGCGGCTTGTCGGTTGGCAGCCGCAATCAAGGACATTGTTGGAGCTGACTTCACATTGGAAGGAAATCACCCCTCACATGGGGTGATATCAACAGGCGAGCCAAGTCCACAGTGTCTCCACAAATTCCAGTGGTTGCATTTGAGTTGAGTCCTAAAACAACACCTTCAATGCCTCTACACTCGCTGTTGAGATAGTCCAGACTTCTAGCTGGTGGTTTAATATTAAGGACCGTATCGACACACTAGAACAAGGTTTTGCTAACACCTATGAGAAGATTTCAAGAAGGACATATTTGGTGAAGAAGAGAGTGTAAATTAAAATTTTTGTTCAGAGACTGACAAGGAAGATTATTAAAATTAATAATTTGGGTGAATTCTACATAAATTGAGGAAGATAAGATTCTTATTCATTCAAAAAAATAAGGTTACACGACAAATTGTTCGGTTGGGTGATATATCTAAGAACCTTGCTTAGGAGATTTGATTTTACTATGAAATAATTAATTTTGTAATGGATGAAAAGAGTTCAACATATCTTAACTCTTGTGCCTAGAAATCTCCATCAGTACTAAAAAAAATATATACTCATGAAGAGGTTTTTGATCTTTATTTTTAGTTTTTACTAGACAGTCCACACAACATTGTCTCATGAAGAGGGGGAAAAAAAAAAAGAAAAAAAAAGAAAAAAAGGTTAAATAGTTATACATGTGATGAGGTGATAAAAATAAAACAACTTATAATATATTGTGAACTTTGTATAAATTGATGAAGATAAGATTCTCATTCATTAAGAAAAACAAGATTACAGGCAAGTTATTTAGCCGGTGATATATTTTATAAATTTTGCCTAAGAGATTTGATTTTACTATTACAGAATTAATTTGTAAGAAAATGCAAACAATAATGACAATTCCAAAAACAATTAATTTGGAGCTTCCGTAAATAGTCATCTCACAGTTGCTCCAAAGGTCAATTTTTTGTTTTTTATTTTGTAATTTAACAAGGCTGGCTGACCTGGTCTAAGTCAGGCTTCGGATTAGAACGATGGCCCAGGCCCTACCCAGTGGGTCAGTCCTAGGATGGGCTTGGGCTTGTTCTTTGATTTGATTTTGATTATTTTTTTTTTTTTTACTTCAAATTTTGTTGGTTATTCTACCTGATTCACAAGAAGTCAATTCTTTAGAATTTTTGCTGCATTTTTGACTACGTGGAATCTTATTTCTAAAGTTTCCTTCTTCTTTTTTTCCAAGCTTTAAAAAAAAATTATGCGTTTAAAGTGTACTCAGATTATTAGTAATGAATATTTGAGTTGAATATACTAGAGTTCATTTAGGAATTGACTATCTAAAAAGTTAAGAAAAATAATGTGATAACTTGTAGTGAATTTTTTATTAAAACAACTTATTAACAAATAAGACCTAAATAATTTTTTTTTACTACTTCAATATTTATTTGAAATGAAAAGAAGATGAGTACTGTTTTTGTTTCCTGACACTTGTGTCCATTAGCCCTCCAAATCCATCAAAAAAGTGTTACTAAAAACTAATTCCAACAAAGTATTTAATCATTTCTCCTTCTTATCAGTGTATATTTATATTTGTTATACGTACAACATGAATCCAATTAGGAAAGCATCTAATTATAGAAAACTCCAACTTAAAAAAATTCATTTAGGGCCTCAAAAGTTTCATATGGGCTTGTTTAGAGCAAATATAAGGTTTGGAGAAGTTTCTATAGATCAATTAAATGTTTTTTATTTTTTATTTTACTTTCATTAATTTCTCATATGACATGATGGGCTTTACTATTTTTCAAATATGAGCTTCTCTATTGTATGAATACAAATAATATATGCAGTAAAAAAAAATTAAATAAATGCAGTAATAAATAGCATTTCACATAAGCATTTATTCTTTTAATAATTTGAAACAAAGGGCATAGTTAACTAAAAAAAAGTGAAATAAAGAGTACAGTCTTCCTATTATCTTCATTTTTTTTTTTATCGGCAAAATAAAAATATATTGATGAATTAAACGGTACAAGTAATACAATTGAATTACATCAACAACAAAGGTCTAGGATTGGAACATCATTATTTAGATATATAAGATAATGTTATATGGCCCAATTTGAATTCAAAAACTGTAACAAACTGACACAGAGATATCATAACACCTTATTTGATTAAAAAAGTGCTAGAACGACCATCTCATTCGAATATCACATTATTATTTATCACTTTACATGACACATTAACATTAGTTTATGAGAAAAGATAGGGATCATGAAAAAATTTTCATGAAACTGATCATGAAAAATTTATGACCCTTGGATTACCTTGATTAGTGTGTGGTGTTTTATTTTAAGTGTAATCCAAAGGTCATAAATCTTTCATGATTATTTTCATGAAAGTTTTTTGATGATACCTAGCATTGGTCTTAGTTTATATTAAGCGTTGGTGAAGAGTACCACGAAAAAAGCTGCTGCAGGAAAAATTTTGTCTAAAAAATCGTTGATCTTAATACCCCGAACCCGGAAGAGGGATAATCCAACAGGGTTTTTTGTAACTAATCGAAAAGGGTTGCCCCATGTTGTGTTGATTCCCACTGAAATCACAAGCATTCCAGCATACCCACGAATCACCTTGCCCCCAACAATCAAGAATGGATTTTGGTGTCGACTCACACTCATCCTCCCAACCTTTGATTCATAAACTTGAAAGCAATCAGAACCAACCAAAAACAACCCATCAGCCGGAACCACGTCCCCAGCCTCCAATACCACCACATCTCCGACAACAATTTCCGGGCACGGAACCCGTTGGACGTTTCCATTTCTTATGACTTCACTCTGGATATTGGCGGTGTTGCAAATTTGCAATAACTGTTCGATGTGTTTACACGCATCGTGTATTTGTATTGATCTGAAGAATAAAGATTGGAACGTAAGAGGTAAATAGACAATGAAAAACACCTTTACCCGATAAAAGACTAGTCCATCATCACCAAGCCCGTGTAGTTTGAAACTGAAGACAATAATATAAACCAGTACACAAATCAGTTGGGTGAGTCTGACGGTGTGGTTGAGCTCTGCCAGCATCAGTTGAGAAATGCTTCTTTTTGGGATCTGTGGGTATGTGTTGGGACCATAGGTGCGGCGTCGGAGAGACAAGTCTTGAGTGTCTCCATGAATTCCAGTGGATTCATTTGAGTTGAATCGTGAAACAACACCTTCAATGCCTCCAAAGTTGCGATTGAGGTTGTCCAGATTTCTGGTGTTGAATGCTTCCACTAGGCTTGTTAGGTAGGAGCAAGGATCCTCTAGAGTGATTTTTTCCTAAAGTTTCCTAGAGTGCTACATTGTGTGGTTGAGATTTACTGGCAAGTCATATCAATTTTTCTGATGTGACTTGCCAGTAAATCTCAACCACATAATATAACACTCTAGGAAACTTTAGGAAAATTTTACTCTAGAGGATCCTTGGTTTGTTAGGTAGGGGTTGTCCAGTGGTTTAATATTAAATACTGTATCAATAATACACAACAAGGTGTTGCTAGCACCGATGAGAATGGATTTCAAGGACCACAATTGTTGGGTTAAATCTGGGTGCTTGCTTGGTGAAAAAGAGAGAATTAAAATTTCTGAGAATTGTGAATGAAGATGGCAAAATTTGATTATACAACCTGTAAAAAAGTGGGTGAAAACCGTCTTCGATTCCTCCAATGCTCATTTTTTTTTTCTCAATTCCTCGTCAGTCCTCGGAAATGGATCATGATGGTTTGTTTTATTTTTTTACTACAGGCAGTTCACTGCATTGTCTCATTTTTTTAATTTTATTTTGGCAAAGGCTAATAAGTGTTCCTTATGCATTGTTTGGTTTGATATGGAAAGTCAGCACAACTTAATCGATTGGCTTACCAAGAATTTACGGGTTCCGAAAAGCATGAACCCAAGCTGGAGTTTAATGTTTGCTGTTACAATTTGGCATATCTATAAGGAACATAATTGAGAAGTCTTTGATAACATAGACCCATCTTGGCAAAATACTTTGGTTTTTATTCATAATTATGTTAATGAGATTAAACATGCTTTTTTCATGTCTTTATCTTCTCATAGAAGTGTACCCATTTTAATTAAGTGGTTGCCTCCTCCTACAGGTAAGATAAAATTGAATACCGATGGAAGGGCCAGAGGAGACCGAGAAGAAGGTGGATTTGGGGGAGTTTTTAGAGATGAAACAGGAATTTGGCTAAGCGGGTATTTTGGAAAGCTTGACTCTTGCTCAAGCTTGGAAGTTGAGATATAGGGCATGTACAGAGGATTGACGATTGTGCTAGAGAAAGGATTACATGAAGTAATCATTGAAACTGACTCATCCTTGGCTGAAAATCTGTTGACTGAAGGGCCATTACAGAATTGCTTGTTTCGCAGTATTGTTGAGGACTCAAGGCATCTTATTTTGCGATGCAATTGCACCATTTGCAGCATCATATGAGAAAACAATAAGTGCACCGACATACTCGCAAAAATGGGTTTAAACCAAACGGATCAGCTTGTGTTCATAGAGGAACCTCCTGCAGAAGTCAGAAGACAGCTAGTGGTTGACATGATTGGAACCACTTATCGGAGGATTTAATTCCCGATTTGCCTTCCTGCTTTATGTTGTTTTTCTTTTCTTTTCTTTCTCTGTTTTGTCTTTCATTTCCGATGTACCCAAAAAAACAAAAAAGACATTGATAGCCCACTGACTCCTAGCAACTCTAGGTTCATATCTGTAAAACAAAGTATAATGCAGCGGAATAAAAATTATGGTCATACCTTTAGAATAGAGTCTGAATTGAAGGATCTCGTGGGTAAATCACGTGCTTCCTGAATCTGATCAGTCAACCCAGCAATGGAGTGATATTACAATAGTGAATATCACCCACACAAATCATAGTGCAAATGGCTTTGATCGTAGGTTTTTGGGAGAGAGTTAGTATATAGGAAAAAGCTCAAACATACGTTGTTTTTCTCTTAATCACCCATATCCCATATTATCAGATATATAATATGTTTATCTCATTTATCCATATCAGTTATATGAGATAATATAAGATATATCATCTATCCATATCAATTATATGATAGATATATAGATATCCTGAGTGGTTATCCAAATAGGTTTGAATTTGAATTCAAAACCCATTTGGATAAGGTTCAAAAGATTCAAAGGGTCATGCCATCAAAACCCATTTGGATAAGGTTTAAAAAATTCAAAGGGTCATGCCACATGGGCGCTCATTTCTAACATCTCCCACTCGCACATGAGTTGGCATGACACTGCCACATCTCTATCTCAATCTCCCCAAAAATGAACAATCTTATACTAGCCAATGCACCGTGCGACCGCTGAGAACACCTGCATGAGGGAGCTCTATACTAGAAACTCAATATGAGTCAACATAGAGACATCAACCCAAAAAAAATAGAAATAATGTTTCATGTACCCAGACCCATCTAGCTACATCAGTCCAAAAACATCTATAATCCCTCAAAGAGCATGTTTGACTCTCCTAGGTCCCGCATTATTCACACGCAATCAGCATCCTATTAAGAGCGATATGAGTTGTCGACAGTGAATATAGAGCAGAGATGTAGAACTAGATGATCTTCCCTTCACCCTCATATCATTTAATTTGAAATTGACCGCTTTCTCAGTAATGTCCCTTAAAGCCGAATCATACATGACCGCAGGCAACATACCAAAGTAGCAGAATATCAACCCCTTACCTTATGACATAGTCAAAAGTCACAAAAGGGTACATAAATGAAAGTCATATCAATAATGACATGTAAGACTCACACGGTGAGGAAACAGGGATCCATTCTCTCACCTCATTACTCGATCGCCAAGCACATATAGTATGAATACATGTTACGGTGGAGTAACTCTTCCATAAAGAGTGACGTCATACTCGATACACCGTACAGATATTAGTCTAGTCGCTTTCTAGCGCCTAACCCGAATTCTCTATTTGCTCGCCTTCCAGGCGCCAAATGAGATCTCGCATCTGGCTAATCATAACAGGCACAACATGGAAAGTGGGTACTAACATCCATGTTTGGTCCTAACAACGACCTCATCTTGGTTATAACCAAGGCGACAAATGTAAAAGTCCAACTAGTGCCCTGAACCAAGTATAAAAACTACACGTCACAACTAATTTAAAAATACA